GTGCGCCAGTTCGTCCAGGAGTCTCCTCTCTTCCTGTAGTCTGCTCTCCAGGTGTGCGGCGACGAATTCTGGGGTGCCTAGGGGGGTGCCAAGGATCTTGATTCCTCGGTCGGGTGGTGCTCTGTCACCCCTCCAGACGTCTTGTCCCAGCTCGCCTATTCCGGGCGGCGCTGCGCCTCCGCCCCTGCTGTAGGCCCGGCACTTGCCAAGGTGGCAATCCACGTTTGCGTGGAGGTGAATTGCTCCGGTGGTGGTGTCGAAAGCGGCTCTGGCCCTGGCCCGGGTGGTCTTGATGTACACGTCGTCCAAGAAAGCGACTAGGAAGTCCCCTTGCTCTAGGGTCCTGGAGGCGCCCGCCAGCGCTCCGTGCAGGGCAAGAGCGAAGAGGGCTGGGGCCAGCGCGTCCCCCTGCTCCACTCCCTCTCCCTGGTGCACGTCGTGCACAGTCCCCATTTCGTCTTGCCAGAGGTAGGTGGAGTCTTGCCCGTACCACATCTTCACGAAGGGGATTAAGCCGGCCAGCTCTGGGCGAGCAAGGAGCTCCTGGAAGAAGGCCGACCTCGACACATGGTCGAAAGCCCCGACTCCATCGATGCTGACAATCACTGCGTCGTCGTCGTGGTCCAGCACTGACCTCAGCAGCATGGCGGCGCAGTCGGTTCCTGCCCGCGTCGTCAGGGCGAACTGGAAGGGCGCAGTTGCGGCCGCGAACTGCTCGGCGAACTGTTGAGCGAGCGCCCTGGTGACCAGTCGGCGGAAAACGTCGCCGGTGGCGATGCCCCGTACTCCGTTGTCTGGTTTCTGGAGCGCCGTCATCTTGCAGAGGGCTAGAGCGCGGGCAATCGGGGAGGGCACCCGCGCCTCCGCGAGGGCAGCGGCGGCGAATCCAAGCAGGTCCATGGACTCTTCGTGTTCCAGCAGCGGCTTGAGGTGCTCAACGCGGACCCCCGACGGTCCTGCTGCCGTGCCCTTTTTGGCGGACCGGAGGCAAGCGAGGAATTTGGTCTTGTCGAGTCTCGCTCTGTCGGTTGCGCGGTCGAGGTTGGCGGGTAGTCGGCGGCTCAGGGTAGGCGGTCGGCGGGCCGGGTCCCGCAGCCTGTTTAGTGTCTCCCCGTTGCCGGGCGCAATCGCCGCCGCGGTCAAGACCTGTCTCCCCCGTGACGGGTTGCCGTTTCGGACGTGCGCGCAAGCCTGTTCTCTGCGTCTCTCCTGCTGTACTGGTGGCTGGCCTCGGCGCTGCGCGCGCGCCGGCCGTGGTGTTGGCCTCGTGTAGCAGGGCCAGCCAGTCGCCCTGGCGGAACCGTTGGGCGCGTTCCAAGAGCTCTTGTCGGCCCTCGGCGTCGGTACCCTTGGGCTTGCTTAGCAGGAGCCTCGAGGCGAGGAGGAACAGTGTCCATCCTTGGTGGGTTGTTGCTTGGTTGCCCTGCTTTTTTTTTTGCGCGGGCTCACGCCAAGCCGAGGCCGCCGCGCGGGGCCCCTGCAGTGGCCCGCCGCCCGCCGCCGTCGGCCTGGGCCTCAGGCCCGCCGCCCCCCGCCGCCGCCGCCGCCCCCGTCCGCCCCGCCGGCCGGCGGGCGGCCGAGCCCGGCCCCACCTCGGCGCCCCCCGCCTCCGCCAGCCAGCGCGCCGCCCCCCTCGCGCCTCGGCCGGCCCCTGGCGGGCCCCAGCCAGCCGCAGCCCGCCGCCTCAGCCTCCGCCCCCTCGCAGCGGGGCTCCGCCGGCCGCGGCGCCTCGTCTCGCTCCTGGCGCGGCTGCGCTGCGGGGCCCCCCTGGCCGCCCCGAGAGTCGCGGGCGTTCTAGCCCCACCCTCACTCGGGGCCCGCTCTGGCGTGCCTCCCCGAGCCCCTCCTAGCCAAAGGGCGGCGGGGCCCCCGCGCTGCCGCCCTCCACCTCCTCGCCCCAGCGCCCGCCTCCTCCTCCGCCTCCTCGGCCTCCGCGGCCTCCGTCGCGGGCCCAGCAGCTGCCGCCGGCCCACCGCCGCCAGCCGCCGCCGGCCGCCGTCGCCCCCTGCCGCGCCGGCGTCCGCGCGGGCCCTGCCGTGCTGCTCCTGGTCGCCGTGGTGGTGGTGGTGGTGCTGCTGCTGCTGGTCGCCGTGCTGGTGGGTGCGGCGCTGCTGCTGGTCGTAGTCGCAGTGGTTGTGGTGGTGGTGCTGCTGCTGCTGCTGCTGCTGCTGCTGCTGCTGCTGCTGCTGCTGCTGCTGCTGCTGCTGCTGCTGTTTGTTGTCGCTGTTGTGGTAGTGGTCGTCGTGGTGCTGCTGGTCGCTGTGCTGCCCCTGGTCGCCGTCGTGGTGGTGGTGGTAGTGGTATCCGTGCTGGTGGTGGTGGCGCTGCTGGTCGTAGTCGTAGTGGTTGTGATGGTTGTGGTGGTGGTGGTGGTGGTGGTGGTGGTGGTGGTGGTGCTGCTGCTGCTGCTGCTGCTGCTGCTGCTGCTGCTTGTTGTCGCTGCGCTGCCGGTCGTAGTCGTAGTGGTTGCGGTGGTGGTTCTGCTGTTGCCGTTGCTGCT